AGGTACATATGAGAGAGGAGATGGAGCTATATCAAAATGGGCTTCTCCATATACGGTCCAGCGGACATTATACACGAGAGGGAGTCCAAGACGATGTGCTAGTAATACACCACTTCCATAAGCAGGATCCGTCAGGACAACATCATATGCAGCATCTTTAAGAGAATTCATCAAGGTTTCATTTTCAAACAATATTGCTGTCATATTGCAGGATTGCTTATGAGTCTCTGTAACAAAGTGAATCATTTCGTCAGCAAGTGCCATTTCATTCCAAAATGATTTTCCTTGTCTCTGAATTTTCAGTAAGTGAGGGAGGAACTTCTCCATGAAGTCATCATCAAATACCCCGTTGTCCACAGTGATAGAAGTGTAGAGAGGAGACTGTTCCTCAATGTACCAGCTGCTAGAACCTCGGACCACGGTGATACTGTGACCCCTCGAATGTAATTCCACAATAAGGACTTTCATATTGACCCAGTGACTTCCTTCCACAGGAACCACGAGAAGTTTACCAGCGTAAGATCTTGAAAGGACACATAACAGAAGGAACAATCCGAGATGGATGTGGGAATGCATCTTTGCTGCTAACCTTAAATAAGAAAGAATATAACAGAGAATTAAACAAAATAATAATTTATCAAAACTGAGTGGTACATAAATGCCCTGTTATTGCCCTGAAATTTCATAGAATTGTTGCAGGCCTTCATCATGAAACTATTACCAAGGTTTGCAGATCCCAGACCATGGTTAACACTGAAAGGTGTATATAGATGAAAAGCAAAATTGTTTCTAACTTCTCCAAGGAGGTGGAGCTACAACAAAAGAATCTTTACCCTATTTTGTCTAGTGAATATGTAGCACATGAAGATCACAATGTGTCAGTACTTTCTATATTTGCTTTTTAAAATCTTAAGCAAGAGCTATCCTATTCTAAAGTAGCATTCTTTGTGTATGGATCTGTAGTAAAATGGATAGAAACTTCACTGAAACCGTCATGTTTTTCAGTTTTCAGTATCCACACAGTGTAGAGTAAAAACTGCTATTCAGTATATCACCTACTTGAAAATCAGATGACGGGGATAATTTTGACCTTATTAATTGACCCTTGAAGACACAAGCAAAGCTTTAATCCAAAGATGTGGATTAGATTTATTCACAAAATTAGAACATCACATACAATATTTGCCAATTAGGTACCATTACAAAACAATGAATCAACGAGAACAAAATCGTCATGTTCTGATAAATTGGCAGCAAATATCAAAAATGAAAAATAAAATTTGCTTTATAATGAGAATCCACTGTGGGCCTTTTTTCATATATAATAAATGACTTTCATATCAAAAGACACAGTAGATCAAACTCAGCAAACGCAGTCATACCTGGCGTTTGGAGGCACTCAGGACGGGTCTGGGAGGTATTAACAATCCAATTTCAAATTGATGATGGAACTTGGCTAAGGGTATAGGGCAGGGCTATTCAATTAGTTTGTCGGCGGGGCCGGTTCATGAAAAGCATCCAAAACGAAGGGCCAGCGAGATATGACTTGCTATTTTATACACACAACTGCATATAGGAGCCCATATGCTGTATTTGTCCTTAAGACACCCACGTTGGCTTTTCTACATTAAAATGTTAATAAATTGTATTTTGAAACTACATAATATCAGTGCATTGTACAAAAGACTTTTTTTTTCTTTTTTTTACAAGCATTCAAATGTATTTCAGAGCACAACAAAATCAGTGCATTGCTGAAGTAGGCTTTTTCTACATTCAGACACATTCATATGTTGTGTTTACATGCTAAATAACATTAATTCATGTCACATTCATATGCTAAATTTATTTTTGATGTCTTGCTCACACTATGTAGAGGGCCGGAACAAATTGCCTCTGGGGCCAGATTCGGCCTGCGGGCCGTCAATTGAATAGCCCTGGTATAAAGATTAGAATTACTAATACAACATTTCTGATGTTTTACAATTTGGCCATTTAGCTGCAGTATGTTATGCATGTGGTGCAGTATTAATGCCTTCTGACTTCATTGTACTTTAGCCTACAAGCATTTTTATGCACATTTTAAAAATGTATGCACATCTTGGCATATCCATTAAGCATTTTTCATGCAATATTCCAAAATCTGCATGAAATAAGTGGATAGACCTTACCAGGGAGCCATTATCAAGTTTTCCAGTATATCAAGTACCAAAGAAATGACAGTGATGATTGAATGTAACTACTGAACAAGGAACTTCATTTTAATTAAATGGTTTGCATCTAAAAAGAACATCCTCTCAGTAATGAGAAGAGTACACTAATGCCTTTGCATTACCAACCTTCATTATGAACTAGTGATGGGCAGGGCCAGACGGAATCTGCGGACGTTTTTTGCTATTTCTGCGGAGAATTTTGGTAAAAATCTGCAGATTTCTGCGGAATTATTTTGGGAGTATCCAGCGGAGTATCATAACTAAAACTAAAAGTAACAAATTACTGAATAAAAACTGAATAAATTCTGATTTACACATTTACTCAAGTAAATAAACAGAATTAATAATGGGCTAAAAATCTGCAGAAATCGGCGGAATTCTGCGGAAAATCTGCAAAAAGTCGGCGAAATTCTGCGCGCGCAGATTCCGTGTGAGCCTAGTGATGGGTCGTTCATGAACGATTCGTTCATCCGCGCGTGTGCACATTTGTGCAGGTAGTATCGTTAATTTCAAGTCTTCATCACATTGGCAGAAGCCAATCATATGCGTTTAGAGCCGGAAAAAGAATTGATCCGCTCACCTCTCTAGTCCTCTATCAGGTCTGAGTCACACGTTCTTCACGACTCAATCATACGCGTTTTGAGGCGGAAAAAGAATTGATCCGCTCACCTCTCTAGTCCTCTATCAGGTCTGAGTCACACGTTCTTCACGACTCAATCATACGCGTTTTGAGGCGGAAAAAGAATTGAACCGCTCATCTCCCGAGTCCTCGGGTTTGAGTCATTCTGTCACGTGATGAACGAACGGTCATGGCTTCTATCGGCTTAGACTGTGCATTGATTAAGATTATATGTGACTGTCAGTGTAACGTAAATTAACCCCTGACATTTGAAGACATGAAGAGGTGAGCTGAGCAAGGAGACAACAATACCTTCATAGACAAAACAGCAGGTAAACATTGAATTATTATTTTCTCCTTCTTATATCCTATTTATGACTTATTTGTCGTGCAATCAACCCTTTGGGCTAGTTGTAGATGTGTTTAGAAGCAATTCGTAACATTTTAAAGGGTCACGAAACACCAAAACACATTTTTTGAGCTGTTGACAGTCGTATATGAGTCCCACACTGCTAAAAACACTATTAGGACACCTATATTTCACTAAAAAGTGTAAATTGGTTGTTTTTGCGTTATTTCAAGCAAATTCGTACTTCCGGTTTGAAACTAATTTTTGAAGCTGCGTCACGGTCATGACATAATAGCGTTGTATTCCAGCGTGCAGACTGGGCGTCTGTGCCAGAGTGAGTCTTATTACGTCTTACAGTGTGATGCATTAATGCATGAGTAAGGCTTGGTTCAAACCAATCAGTGTGCTCTATTGTGCAACTTCATTAATATTCATTAGTGTCACAGTGTTTTCACGACAGAGACGCCACGTTGTGTTGGCAAAACAAGCGTGAAGTGTTGCTTTTATAGTTTGCTGCCGTTAAGTTTTGTTTTCATTTTCTCTCTGTGAGAGCGCAGCTGGAGTCACGTGTGAATTAACAGTGTACGCGACGCTCGACAACAATAACTTACGTGTCTAAGGAGGATTATTGTTTACCTGAGAGCTGTTCTCATCTCCAAACGCTGAGATCCAGATTCGCTTGTAGTCTTCTCTAAATAAAGACGCAGCTCTAGTTGCTGGTGATTGTCCTGTCTCTACAGATTTGGTAAGTGAGCGACCAGTGCTCTTTGTTTATTCAGTTTGCTCGTATCGAACTAAGTTAACTATTGCACCGAGTCACCGAGTGTAAACACGTTAGCATCACAACCAAACTTTAACCTCGTGTAGGGTTTTTACCGCATTTAGTGACCGGAATAACACACGCGGCTTTCTGACGCTACCTGCTGTGTGCATCTAAGTTTCCGGGAAATGCGGAGGTTTTTTTTCTCTCATTCGCCGTGCGGTATCAAACATTGCATGAAAAATACACGCTTAGAGCAGTTCCTCGAATCAAATAACTTGTTTGTCGCGAGGGGCATGAATGAATTCCCTGAATGAAAGAGCCAAACTGCAGTTAAAGTCCAACATTTAATAATTTGGCAAATAATTCGACTACAGATGTCCATGTAGGTTAAACACCATCACTTTCTCCTGTCTGTGTATTTTGACTCTGAAACTCGCGCGTGCCCAAATAGACACTCCCACACCATCCCACTTTAGTTCCTCCGACACTCCCCCCTAAACAGAGCTGGACACACCCACTTTTCTGACTTTTTCCACAGTAGAGGTGTGAAAACACCCTGCTGAAACGAGGGGGTTTCATGGCCCTTTAATAATATTTTGGCAAATTGAACCAAATGAATGAAATGACTCGAAAAAAGATTCGTTCATCTCGATGAACGAGACTCAAAGATCCTTGTCAGCAAAATGATCCGAACTTCCCATCACTATTATGAACGTATATAACCAGAATTAATATGCTACAGAAAAAAAAAAAACATTAATTTCCTAAAATTCTAAGCATTTAGTCTTTACTTTAGTTGGTTAGTAATACATTACTTCCTAAACCTAATTACTGAGTTCATGCAGAAGGATAAATCACACTGTAATCTTAATCTTTGACTTTCAGAGCATTCACACAAAGCAGAAGCTAGTTGTAGTCTGTTTGTTGCCTGTTGACAATCGGCTGATGCTAAACCTTCAGTTTAGGGACAATTGTGAATTTGTTCTGAATGATCATTTTTGTTTTATGCACTGGATTAAAATATGCTTCCTAAATACAAAAATTTCATTTGAACTGATATTAAGCCAATATGTCACTCACGCTTTACTTTCTTTCTAAATACACAAAGGCAAAAATATTTAATTGTATAACCAATCATCAATGCAAATACAAAACCCGTCACCATTAATGTCAGAATAACATCTATAGAGTGGTACTCAATCCAGGACATTCTGAAAGACTGTGTCCGTAAATGAGGAGCTCCTTTGTTCCTCATGACAAACTCGATCCAGAACATGGCACGATCAAGAGGTTTCAATGGCTGGTCGTGGTGCAGCTTGGACAGTCTCTGCATGTTCTCTCTGTAAGACGGATTATACAAAACCTCCTTTAATGCTTCCAGAAACACAGTCTTGTCCAAAGTTGCAATGTCTACAATCTTTGCTGTCCCTTTTGCTTCCATTCTGAAGAGATTATCAGGCTGATCGAAAACTAAAGGTAGACCCAAGATGGGCACTCCATGGTAGATGGCTTCCTGAATTCCGTTGGTTCCTCCATGTGCCACAAATACTTTAATCTGGGGATGTCCGAGCAGGTCATTCTGAGGGAGCCATTCTACAAGTAAGGTGTTGTTACCAAGAGTCACAGGTCGTGGTCCTGTATACCTCCAGATCACTTTTTGAGGAAGCTCCGCAAAAGCCGCTGCTATGTCATCAGTCATATCTTGTGGAAGCTGAGCAATGAGAGTGCCTAAAGACATGACAATGACTCCATGCTCTCCCGAGCTTTCCACAAACTTTTCAAGATCATTTGGAAGCGGCTTGGCAGGTTTACACTGGAAACCACTCATATAGACAATATTGGGCATTGTAGGTCGTGGAAACTCAAAGGTAAAGTCATTCCTCATGAGCCAAATATCTGCATCCTGGAAAAGTGAGAAATATGTAACATTGGGGCCAAAATGTTTGTGACAGAAAGGCGCATAGATGGGTTCAACCATGATTTGCATCTGGATCTGGCTGATTAAGTATATCAAAACGTTCTTGACACGTTGAAGGAAGGACATCTTGTCTGTAAGCTCTACTCCTGGAACAGGGATATAAGACAGAGGAGAAGGGGCAATAGCGAAATGTCCTTCTCCCTGAATTGTCCACCGAACATTAAAAACTAAAGGAATATTAAACTTATAAGCTAGGATTGGACCACCTCCTACAGCGGGGTCTGCTAGCACCACATCAAATTTAGCATCTTGGATGGAGTTCATAACTTTTTCGTCTTCTAACATTCTGTCCATCATCTGCAACATATCTTCATGCATGGTTTTAAACTTCATCATGATTTCAAACTCCAGACGAACACGGTTCAAAACAAAATACCCTCCTCTTTTAATTTCCAAGAGACGGTTGATCAATAAACCACTAAACTCCTCATCAAATCCTCCTGTGTTTGGAATTGTGATGGAACTGTAGAAAGGAGACTCCTCTTTGATATACCAACTGTTGGAAGGTCTTACCACAGTCACATTGTGACCTTTCCTATGCAGTTCCTCAATAAGGACCTTCATGTTCACCCAGTGACTTCCATCTAGTGGAAATACCAGCACTTTACCACCGTATGTTCCAGATAATACACATAAAAGAGAAAACAAACAGAGACGTGCTGAATGATGCATCTTTGCACGCGACCTTTGAAAACAAAAGAGAAGAAATCAATGAATGGTTTATATAGAGTGATTTTTTTAAAGTGAAGAAATTATAAGAGCACACAATCCCTATAGTATTCCTGTTCTCTATTGCAGATGTCTCCAAAATCATCCTGTCCGACCACCCGTTTGGTTTTCCAATTCCATCTCATCTTCTTAAACCATTTGTTCTGTTGTCCTCAAATCAACACATCTCTTTATACTGATCTTTTTCTCACTTCTTGTAAGCAGTTTTGGATTACCCAACTGTTTAAGAAACATACTAAAAACCCAGTTGCCCTGCTGAAAAATCCAGCTTAAACCAGCCTAGGCTGGTTGGCTGGTTTTAGCTGGTCGACCAGGCTGGTTTTAGAGGGGTTTTGGCCATTTCCAGGCTGGTTTCCAGCCATTTCCAGCCTGGTCTTAGCTGGTCAGGCTGGGAGATGACCAGCTAAAACCAGCTTGACCAGCCTAGCCAAGCTGGGAGTCCAGCTATATCCAGCTTAAACCAGGCTGGTCAAGCTGGTTTTAGCTGGATTTGGTCAACCAGCTAAAACCAGCCAAGCAGCCTAGGCTGGTTTAAGCTGAATTTTTTAGCAGGGAGCTCAATCCTGTTCCTGGAGATCAACCTTCCTGCAGATTTCAGTTGCTACCCATATCAAACACACCTGCCTGTAATTATTAAGTGGTGTTCAGGTCCTAATTAATTGGTTCAGGTGTGTTTGATATGGGTAGCAACTGAAATCTGCAGAAAGGTAGATCTCCAGGAACAGGATTGAGCACCCCTGCTTTAGAGAGTTATGTTGATATTTGCTTTTTGTCACAATGAACAATCCAAATATTTCATTGCATTTATATAGTGAGGGCACCTTGCAGATTTGGATCTCCTAAACTCTCACCAGTGTGAAGCTTCCACCGTGATAATACACAATTGCAGTCATTCTGCACCAGACCTGAACCCAGCTTATTGATGGAGAAGAGTGTTCTGAGCTAGATGATATTGGAAGAGTTAAGCAGCCATGATGGACAGTGACCAGTGGGCATCTTTGGCCAGGATGCCAGGGACAGAGCCCTACCCTTTTTTGAATGACATCCTGGGATTAGTAATGACAATTAAGATTCAGGAACCTTGGTTTATGGCTTATTGAAGGATGGTGCTCATTGCCAGCATAGTATCCCTGTAATTATACCAACGCAGGCTCACTTTGAAAATGTGCCTTTGTATACATTTCTGGAGAGCACAAGTTATGTAGCTCACTATGCATGGCTGCATTTTGTCTTTAAAACAAATGCTACGGGGTGGTATGATGCTGCTTCTGTTTCTTTTTTGCACAACCAGCTGACCGCTTACCTCTGTGTGAACAGCATTTTCACTGTTACAAGTGTGCCTGGTGGCTCAACACATACGCCGGCGGACTTAAGAGAGGAGTTGACTGTGATGACAGGGTTTGAGTCTGGTGAAGAACAGTTCCAGAAAGCAGGTAAAATAAAAGTTTTAAAAAATTAAAATAAACGAGGAGTTGACCGCGACGACAGGGTTTGAGTCCGGTGAAGAACAATTCCAGAAAACAGGTAAAACAAAAACAAAAGCAAAAAAATTGCTCATTATAGAATAGAGAATGACTTTAATGTAGACATGCAGTTAATCCAAACGTGCAAGTCATTAATTGACGACGCTTTGAAGTGACGCTAAAGATACGAGAAAGTGTCTTTTCACTTGATTCGATTCCTCGGTCCTTCAGTCTTTTCCTTGCGTCCTTCCCTCGTATCCCGGTAGGGTGGAAACACGAGGAAAGAAAGCAAGGAAAGGAAACGAGGATGCACAAATAAGAAATGAGAAGCACCCGAGCTCTCATCAGCAGTGAACTCCGTCTCCAATCGGCGCACAGGGACAAAAGTAAATAAATAGCCTAAATTAAACGCACTGTACTATACAAATTTTTTTATTGTAGCCTAATAGAAAACGCATTGACACATCATTTCAACATGCTGCTATTTAGCCTACTCCTAAATGCCTATTTTACTTTATTTTTTAGTAAATAGATATAATAATAAGTCATTTACATTATAGCCTAATAATGTTTACATTTGTAGTTGTCCATAGCAACCCCAAAAACGTACCTGCTTGCCTTGCACATCTAATTAATGGGCACAGTTTTTCGACTATTTATTTATTTATTTATTTATTTATTTTTTGCTGTGGATGTTATTGAGCTTGTAGAAATCGGAAACAACACCAGTTCTGCGACACAGATGAACCTTTATTTATATCTCTATCAGACAATACCTATTTTATTTGCCAAAAGAAACAACAGGCAGTAAAAAAATATTAACATAAATATCTTAATGTAGGCATAGGCTATAGTCGCATGCTTTGGCAAACAGTTGAAATTTTTTTTAATAAAAACGTCATATCGTGCCTAAGCCTTATAGGCTCAGTCACCCCCACAATTAGAAATTAAATTAGAAAAATAGATTTGCCATCCCTCTTTGAGCGAACATAAAGTCTGTCCAGGCTAAGTGCATGTATGACAGTGTCAGGATTCAGACGGGAGCGCCTGCATAGCCACTATAATGCGCCCTGCTGCACTGAAGGAGCGCTCGCTCGCAGCACTTGTTGCTGAAATGCATATAATTCTCTTGGAAAGGTGCTGCAGTCGTGGGAATGACTGGCTTTATTTCTCCCTAAAGGAAAGTAGATTTTCCTCTGCTGATCCGTCTATACGGAAGTTTGTAGAGGTATACTTCTGTACTTCATCCAGAATTAGTGTATCCGATTCCTCCTCCCATTCTGTGAAGTCAGTCCTAGGCTTTTTCGTTGGTGCGCCAGCTATGCCTATAAAAACAGTACAACCGCCCGCCACCCGCCCGAATTTAATTAAAATATTATTTTTTCGTAACGTCATCCGCCCGATCCGCGGTTTATCCGCGGAGTCCGCGGCTATAACCTCCAACCGCGCATCTCTAATCTGTGCTTTTGAAAACAATATCGGTTGGGTTTAGGGAACGGAGTGGGTGCAGTTAATTGGTTGGTAAATCAGTCGACAGTGGTCTCTGGTGGATTTAGTCAAGAAGAACAGGTGTGAATGGCACTTGCAAGAGAAATTTGAGATCTGAAAAAGCGAACACAGCAACTTAAGGCTGATTTATACTTCTGCGTCAAACGCCGGCGTATGCGTATCACTGACGTGCACCTCTCAAAAAATCTAACTACACGATCGCAACTAAGCGTAGCACAAGCTCTGTGATTGGTCGGCTTGGTAGCGCTGACGTGTCTGGGCGGGACCGAGAGCCGCGCGAATGGTGCGAGCCAATGGAGCAATTGTTTACAAGTGTGGAGTCCCGTGAAGGAGCTCCGGATGGAAAGTTTTGTTTTGTTTTGTGTTTACCTCATAGTTAAAGTTATTGCACGTCCGCCAGTTCCTGCCACAAAACGAGTTTGAGCCACTTGTACATCCAGGAAGCGTTCAGAAAAAAAAGCAGCGAAGAAACTCGACACAGAGGAACATTTACACCTCACTGCCAACTAGCGTTTCGGAAGTGTTAATGCAGACCAACAGAGACAGCGCGCAGAAGTATAAATGCACAGCTACGCGCATTGCATGCGCCGTGGGTTACGCCGGTTACTTGACGCAGAAGTATAAACCAGGCTTTATGGTGGATTTGCAAAAACTGCGTACGTAAAAATAATGAGCCTGTTGAATTATACTGGGCACTAGGGCCCACATAGACCATAGAGTGAATACCACTGCTGGCCCAGCAGCACCTAGTTTTCCCATGATCTTCCTACCAGGCATACAAGACAACCCTATAACTTTAGTGGGCCATCATGTGAGAGCTACAGACAGCTAGAACAGCAGGTGCCTACATTGCAGCATCTAGTTAAAGGGATGCCTCAAGGCTCAATTCTTGGACCACTTCTTCTGCTGGTCGTATATTTAGATTATCTTCAAAATTTTGATTTCACTAATTCCATTCAAGAAGTGAAACCTGTATAATGTGTACATTCATTCCACAGACTGATATATTTCAAGTGTTTGTTTCTTTTAATATTGATAATTTTGATGACAACTAATGAAAACGTCTCAGGCTATACATGTAACCACGGTTCCTTGAAGTGATCGAGATGCTGTGTTTGAGTGTCTCTATTCGGAGCCACAATGGGATGCCATACCTCTCTTATAACCTTCTGAAGCACAGATGAAATCAATCGAATGCAATTGGCGGGATGTACAGTGCATGTGTGACGTCAGACCAAAAGTATAAAAGCACTACGCAGACAATGAACTTCAGCTTAAACCTCTCAAACAGAGCACACCAGTCATGAAAAAGTATGACAAAGCAACGCAGCATCTCGTTCCCTTCAGGAAACTATGGTTATATGCGTATACATATATATATATATATATATATATATATACATACATATATACATACATACATACATACATACATACATACATACATACATACATACAAAAACAAAGGAGCAAAGGATTCTTTCAGCAACCTAAAACATGAACAAACTGCCAGGTTTAACTTATACCATTACCTTTTGGACTATTATGAATCCGGAATGACAGAATTACTTTCTAACAAGAGCTTACATGTGCTGCTGAAGATTAAAGATACAAATGAGAGGATTGCATTGATTGGACTATATGTTGTTTTTGAGCCAAAAAATATTGACTAATTTTATGCTGTGTGCCGTCTTTCTGTACTTGGTAACATATCAGAGAGTGTTAGGGTCTGTATGTGTTCATATATGTTGCATTTATTTATTTATTTGCTATAATCGCAGATGTTATAATAGGCTCTTTTGCCTTAATTTCGCTATTTATTTTAGTAATGAACATGTATACACAAGTGTTAGTATATAAAGCCTCTGTTTTGTGAGAAGTGCTTCTCTCTATGTAAGAGAGACTCATCCAGCTTTACTTTGACATTTCCTCGAGTAAGAATGACGTTGACTGAAACTTTGTTGTACACCACGCCCACCAAAACAGTACCACTGGTAGCCTTTTAGCAGTGGAAATGCGAGCCTGATAAAGGTGACCCGTACCATACCACTCAGTGAAAAAAGGTTAAAAGTATATTAACAGGCATCCGTCTTAAATTCTTTGCTTGATTTCATTATTTGAGCTCCATTTTCTCAGCTTTAATGTACTGAACGCGCCAAACTGAACAACCAATCAGTTCTATTTTTTTCCAATAAAGCAGTTTTGTAATATACTCTGACATGATGATCCCAGAACTTGCACTTTGAAACCAGTTTTTAAAAAGCTGCCATTTTCAGGTCTCCAAAAATCAATGTGGTCACAAAAACAGAAAAAACTGTGTACATTTGGTTGCAGCAGAACATCTTGTCCATTGTGCATCAGAATCACATGACAAATAAGTACTCCATATTTCACACTCAACGTTACACAATCTTTTAATACTCATGCTTTAAAATCTACATGTTCACTCCAACATGCTAAAATAACTTTGTGTGCGCATTCACCCTTTAAAACCATCATAAAAATAAAAAAAATAAAAACATTTGACACTTTTTACTCACATTTATCACAATAACGTAATAGGCAGATGCTGAATTTTTCAAATCTCATATATGATAGAGCGATAAGAGTGTTATTCTCAGATATTACGTAAAGAAGAGCAAAATGTAAACCTCAAATCCTACATATAGACTGACAGAAAAAAAGTCTTCTTTGCCAAATCAGATTTTGAAAATTAAATAATGTTTTAAATCTCACCTGACAACCAGCAAGTACTGCTTGAATTTCCCCTCAGCGCAATGTAGCTTCCGAAACCTTCAGCACATTTATAATGCAATGCATTTACAAGCTTTTCAACTGCATTCAGGTGAAAGGTTCCTTTGAACGTGAACACAGCAAAAGCCTATCAGGTGCCTTCAGGCAGAACAGTTAAATAATGCCATCGTAATATGGGTCAAAGATCTCTGAACACATTTTGAACTATAAACAGTCGAACATCATAGTGTTTAAAGAAATGTGTTAAGATTTTACTTTCGATGAAAATAATAATTGATTTCGCATCACACACATGCCAGAAGTCCACATGATACCTCAGATGAAATGTCTGCTTTTGTAAAAGCATCATGCTACACTCCCACCATCAGGACATTCCAGGGACAAACTGTACCAAATGAGTGATATTGTGCAAGCTGGTTAAATAATGGAAAGAAAAAAAGGGAAACCTGAGCTTGTTCTTCTTTTGTGTTTAACAGAAGCTTTAACAGGTTTAAAACAAGTAAAGAGTACATAAAATATGATAGAACTTTATTTATTTTGGGGGTAACTTACTCCTTTATTTGCTCTAAAAATAAAAAAGTATATATCTTAAAGGGTAAAAAGTTCATTGGCGTCTTTAGGACTCAAAAACACTGAATTGAGCAAGACAGTGTACACTCACCGGCCACTTTATTAGGTACACCCATCCAACTGCTTGTTAATGCAAATTTCTAATAAGCCAATCACATGGCATCAAATCAACGCATTTAGGCATGTAGACGTGGTCAAGATGGTCTGATGCTGATGGTGATTTCAGTGACTTTGAACTTGGCATGCTTGTTGGTGCCAGACGGGCTGGTCTGAGTTTTTCAGAAACTGCTGGGATTATCACACACAACCATCATTAGGATTTACAGAGAATAGTCTGAAAAAGAGAAAATATCCAGTGAAACTAGATGGATTTGCATTGTAAACATTAAAAGCTAAAAATTTAGTAATTTTATTTCAAAATAAGTTTTTAGTTATGATACTTCCAAAAATAATTGCACAGAAATACACAGACTTTTATTCATCTATTTATTTTTACAAAATTTCTCAGCAGAAATTGCAAAAAAATGTCTACAGATTCTGTGAAAGTGAAAAAACCTGCATATTTCTTATTAAAAAAAAAAAAAAAAAAAACATGCTGGAAACTATTTTGTCCTGGTTTAAGCAGCATTTCTGCAGGCAATAGTGCCTGAACTGGTGGGATTATGAATGCTCAAAGTACAGACAGGTTTAAATCCATTATGCCATTTCTTCTAGAAAACACCTGAAGGATTGTTTTGATGATTTTTACTTCATCCTATGTAGTAATAGTTTAATTCAGTTTTTAACTAATTACATGAACTTATGCTGATGTGTTTATCCTTATTTAACCTCACGTGCTAAACCTCATATAATTTTGCTCCATAACAGCTGTGCCCTTGTGTGACTAATAACCAAGAAGCTAAGTCTTGTACTCGTTATCAACTTAATGTTACATTTTTTGTTCCAAAATGTGCTCATTTTCAGGAACAATCACCGGCGGGAGGGGCTCAAGCTCACTCTCTTGCAGGCTCTATTATGAGTATGCGTAACTTTTTCTGTGCAGATTTGCTGTTCTGCCTAACAACTGATGATTGAACTGATGTTTGAACTGATCTGGATGGAGGATCTTTCTTACCCAAGCGCCCCGGGCGAGGCCGCAGAGAGATCGGCGACATATACTTGGCTGCGAGGGTTAGAGAGTAGTGTGGAATGCCCACATGTAAACCTCACACTGTAAAGGGTTTAATATGCAGGCCAGAGCGCTTTGTATGCGTGATGATTCCAAACACACTTCTATGCAGTCATGTTTGTTTGCGTGTGTGTGTGTGCCCTGCTGAAAAATCCAGCTTAAACCAGCCTAGGCTGGTTGGCTGGTTTTAGTTGGTCAACCAGGCTGGTTTTAGAGGGGTTTTGGCCACTTCCAGGCTGGTTTCCAGCCATTTCCAGCCTGGTCTAAGCTGGATTTTTTAGCAGGGTGTATATATATATATATATATATATATATATATAACAGGTCATGAAATGGCCGCCTGAATTCAGTCCATACCTGAATATTATTAAAGCAATACCTGGAAGGGAAAAACAAACATATGACTAAATCCAAGGAACAACTCCAGGAAGTGCCGAAAGAAGGCTGACATTAGGGCACATTTCAGAACTTCAGGAAAGCCTTCACCCAAAAAAAAAAAAAAAAAAAAACTATGATAGTTCTCAATAAAAACAGAGTTTTGGTTTGAAAAAGAAAAAAATTTATTAATTCTTAAAAAAGTTTTATTTTTTTATTTTTAAAAAGACATCTTTTTCTCTTAAATAGAAGCTTAAGATATTGATAAATTATTTCAAGTACAAAAAGCTTTAAGATCAGGTTTGTACTATAATAGTTTTATAAAATAAAATAAAATAGTTTTAATCAGTCTTTAAATTAGCCGGTAGATAAAGGATACCTTATTTTTTTAGCTCCGCTCCTTCAGGTCTTGTTTCAGTTGGAATAAACATCCTCTCACATGATTAAATACATCAACGCACAGCATTGTACAGGTCCTAAACCACCAAACCTGGTGGTGGCTTAAGACTTTTACACAGTACTGTATATTTATGTACAATAAATAAATGAAATGTCAATTTGCCGTTTATAGACATTCACATTTTCTTTAAATTGCACATATATTACAATTATAAAATACATCTTAAATACATTTCCTAATGTATTCCTAACTCCCAAATATAATTGTCATTAATAACTTTAAAATATAAAGCAAAACAACCAGTCAGAATTCTGTCCATCCATCAACATTTACCCACACAAAAATCGGCTTTGCAAAACTTTTTTTTTTTTAAAGATCAAGAAATAAATCTATTTAAATAGAGTAATGAAACCCAAATCTTCTGTGTGTTTACAGCAACACATTTGTTTACAAAAGCTCATATGTGTTTGTTTGATGTGCAAGAACCAGTGAGGCCCAATCTCACATTACAAGATATGGCTGAACTTTACAGATCAATAAATATATGTGAATACAATTACAATTATTGAATTAAAACACTATTTCCATCAACACTTTTTAAAAAATAGATGACATGAGGGGGGAAAAAAAGTTGGTTTAAGAGCAAATTTAGAGGGATAGAAATTTGTCAAAATAGAACTATCTGTTCTGAAAATAATAAATAGACATGATGGTGAGAAATTGATGAGTGTTCGATACATCGCAAATTAAACCTTTTAGTATCAGTTGCAAAACAAGCAGAATATTGTAACACAATACACTGCAATGCCATGAACACAAATCTCTTCTCAACTTACAAAAGAAAATGCAAAGGCTTAGTCTGGGCGTCAGATGAAGAGGGGAAACTGCACATATACTAAAAAAGTCAAATAGCTACACCATGTGGCGACACAGAGTTATAAATCAAACAAAATCTTCCATTTTGAAAGGCACAAATTTTCTCCTTAGATTTTCCTTCGTAGCTCAATGACAACTGCAAATATACTGGTATCCAGTGGTGTAAATTAACTAATTTAAAATACTCAAATTACTGTAATTGAGTAGTTTTTCCTGAGAAATTGTAATTTACTAAGTAGTTTTAAATGTGTACTTTTACTTTTCCTTGAGTACATTTTTAGTGCAGTATCTGTACTTTTACTCCACTACTTTCCTTCAACCTGCAGTCACTAATTTTTTTTCTCTTGTCTATGGGAATTAGAAAAATCAGTCCTGTAATTCCTGTCCAATCAAATCACACATGCACTTTATATTGCAGCAAACTGTTTGGAAGCATTAAAAGTGTCCAAGAAGATGTTCAAAGTCTTTACACGCAATGACCCAGAGACTGTTCAGATCAGGGATGCCCAAACACAGTCCTGCAGAGCCGATGTCCTGAAGATTTTAGTTGCAACTTGCCTCAACACACCTGCGCGGTTGTTTCTAGAAAGCCTAGTATGAGATTGATTAGCAGGTGAATCTAATTGGGATTGGAATTAAACTCTGCAGGACACCGGCCCTCCAGGACCGAGTATGGGCGCCCCTGGTTTAGATGCATGTCACTGATGAGAAGATGATAGATATTTACCGTATGAGGATAGAGATAACACCTAGCAGACACAAGACGTCAACATGCCGTCAGATTGAAATAGTGCCCTAACTTCATGGAGACGCTGCATTGTTTGGAAGTGAAAATCAGGTTTACATCAGAACTTAACGTCAGCCCGATGTCAAAATCCAACCTAAAACCAGCCAAATATCAATGTCTAATGATGTTACAGCTTGACGTGTATACGTTATCACTATGACATCTATCAGACGTTGAACTTTGGTTGCCATAACTGATAAATAAATGTCAGTATTTGACGTCAATAGGATGTTGGTTTAAGATGTTGGCTCGAAATTGGATTTTGGTCACTTTCTAACAACCTAAAATCAACCAAATATCAACATCATTAAATGTCATTATTGGACATCAAAATAATGTTGTTCTTAGACGTTGGCTAGGCATTGAATTTTGGTCACTTGACATCACAACCTAAATCGAACCTAATATTAACGTCTTATGACGTTGTGTGCCTGCTGGGCAATAACTAAATGCACTACAGGATGTTACGTTTACACATCCACAAATTACATGTAAATGCATCGACTTTTAACAGCATAATACTCACAACTTTTGAGTACTTTTAAAATGGCTACTTTTTACTATTACTTTGAGTAATATTTACAACAGGTACTACTCTACTCGCACAACATTTTTAGGCAAGTAATGGTACTTTTACTTAAGTATGCTTTTTTAGTACTCTTTCCACCACTGATGGCATCTTATAACGAAAACAAACTATATATGACGATAAAAACAGTACTATATTCACAATGCTGCATAGACTGCAGATTAAAGAGTGTTTCATTTGTCACAAGGTTCAGGATATTGTAATACTATCAATTTTAAATGTATGCACACATCAAGCTGTCGTCAAGCTGAGACCAAAGT